GTTCACCCGTCGGCCTGGGTCGAGCCTCTACACATTGACTACTGTGTCTCCTCCTGTCACTGCGTCTGGTCAGGTAGCCGCGTCTGGTCAGGTGTTTGCTGCTGCGTCCAGGTCTAGTCCGGCGTCTGCCCCCTGCTCGTGTCGTCCTTTGTCACACGAGACTCTTCTTTGGCACCACCGCCCTTGTCACCCCTCCCTGCCTCGTCTCCGAGGTATGGCCTCCCGTGTCCTTGTCTCAGGTCTCCCCCCGTCCCTCCCTCCCCTTCCTCCGGGGCCTGCCCCTACCTGTGTTCCTTCTGTTGAGGGCCGGCAGCGTGCCGCTCCTCACTCCTCTGAGTTTCCTCCGACGGAGGCTCCCCTGCAGACTCTCCACATGGACGTGTGGGGCCCAGCCCGCGTCCGTGGACAGGGTCACGAGCGTTACTTCCTGCTGGTCGTTGACGACTACTCGCGCTACACCACAGTCTTCCCCTTGCACCGCAAGGGTGAGGTCACTGAGGTGTTGATCGACTGGATCCGCGCTGCTCGTCTCCAGCTCTGAGAGAGTTTCGGCTCGGACTTTCCTGTTTTGCGTCTCCACTCAGACAGAGGTGGTGAGTTTTCCTCCGACCTTCTGAGGGCTTTCTGTCGTGCGGAGGGCATCCGCCAGACGTTCACGCTTCCGGCCTCCCCACAGCAAAATGGGATTGCTGAGCGCCGCATTAGCATGGTCATGGACGTCGCTCGCACGTCCATGATCCATGCGGTTGCTCCCTATTTTCTGTGGCCGTTCGCTGTTCAGTACGCTGCGCATCAGATCAACCTTCAGCCTCGTGTCTCCTTGCCGGAGACCACACCTACTCTGCGGTGGACGGGGAAGGTTGGTGATGCGTCTGTGTACCGTGTCTGGGGATCTCGAGCTTTTGTCCGCGATACTTCCGCGGGCAAGCTGTCCTCTCGTGCTGTTCCTTGCGTTTTCCTTGGCTTCCCCCCTGACGCGCCTGAGTGGCAGTTTTACCACCCCACCTCGAGCCGTGTTCTTGTCCTCTCAGGACGTCACGTTTGACGAGTCGGTCTCTTACTACCGTCTCTTTCCCTACCGCACTGCCCCTCTCCCCCCCCCGCCGCTCTTCCTAGCACCAGGTACTCCTCCGGTAGACCCCCTCCCCCCTCAGGGTCCTGCCCCTTCAGGTGTGTCCCAGGTAGACCCTGTCGAGCCGGTCGAGGTAGCTGTTGACTCTGGTGCTGCTAGGGGTGCTGAGCCTGCGGGTGCGGGGCCTGGGGGTGCTGAGCCTGGGGTTGCTGAGTCTGGGGGTGCGGAGCCTGGGGGTGCTGAGCCTGAGCGTGCTGTGTCTGGAGGTCCTTCGGGTGTCTCGTCACAGCGGGAGCCCCTCTCTCCACAGCGGCTGCGTGAGTGGTACGCTCGACGCTGTAGCCGTGCTGCTGGTGCTGGAGCTACTGGAGAAGCTGGAGGTACTGCTGGTGCTGGAGCTGCTCGAGCCGCTGGTTCTAGAGGTGCTCGTGCTGGAGGTACTGGCGCTGCTGGAGGTCCTGCTGGTGTTGGAGCCGCTGGAGGTGCTGGAGCCGCTGGAGGTGCTACTGGAGCCACTGGAGGTGCTGCTGGTGCTGGAGCTGCTGGAGCAGCTGGAGGTACTGCTGGTGCTGGAGCTGCTGGAGCCGCTGGTCCTGGAGGTGCTCGTGCTGGAGATACTGCCGCTGCTGGAGGCCCTGGTGGTGTTGGAGCTGCTGGAGGTACTGGAGCCGCTGGTCTCGGAGGTGCTCGTACTGGAGGTACTGGAGCTACTGGGGCTGGTGGTGCTGCAGGAGTTGGAGCTGGAGGTGCTGGAGCTGTTCCGGCTGGAGGTGCTGCTGGAGCTGGTGCTGCTGGAGGTGCTGCGGCTGGTGGTGCTGCGGGAGTTGGAGCTGGAGACCCTAGAGCAGAGGGTACTGGTGCTGTCTCTGCTGTTTCTGGAGGCGCTACGCGGCCGCGGCCGTACTACGTTCCGCTCCTTCAGCAGGTTCTTGGCCTACCGCTTTCTACTGGTCCTCCTCCTCCTCCCTTACTGAGTCCACCGCCTGTCCAGTCGCAGTTGCAGTTACTGCCAGCCTCTCCACTGCCTGGTCCTTCTCCTTACTCTGGACCGACTAGAGGTCTTACGGAGCGTCGTGCACCTGAGTCTCGTCCTGCGTCGCCCGAGTCTCGTCCTGAGTCGCCTGTTCGCGCTGTCCGCACTGGTCGTGTTCCGCGTCAGCGTCCTCCTCCTGTCCCTGGCACTCACTATATGACTCTGTGTCCTTCCACTGCTCCACAGCGTGTCCCTCTACCGTCTCCTCCTGCGTCCTCTCTTCCTGACGGTCCGGACCCGGAGTCTGACTCCCTTCGTGCTGCTAGTCCTACTGTCACACGTTTCCTCGCCACTGTTGTCACTGACCCTTCGTTTGAGTCCACTGCTGCGTCTGCTCTAGTTGCTGAGCTTGTTGACTTTGCTGCCGCCTATCGTCTAGACTACGCCGCTAGTCTTGTTGCTGAGTCTGAGTCTGAGTCTAACTGTCCTCCGTCCGTCGGGGGTGAGTGTGCACTTGGCACGGACGTACTTGAGGACAGACAGGAGGAGTTTGAGTGCTTTGCCGCTGCTTTACCTCATCTCTTGTCCATGCAGATTGCCCATGAGGGAGACCCGGATGCACCAGACATCCCGACCCCGCGCTCTTACGCAGAGGCGATAGAGGGTCCCGTGTAAGCAGAGATGGCTTCCTGGAAGTCCACAGGCACCTACGTCGACGAGGTTCCCCCACCTGGGGCGAACATCGTCAGTGGCATGTGGATTTTCAGGGTGAAGCGGCCGCCGGGTTCCCTGCCTGTCTTCAAGGCGCGTTACGTTGCACGAGGCTTCAGTCAGCGAGAGGGAGTTGACTTCTTCCAGACCTTCTCCCCTACCCTGAAGATGACCACTCTTCGGGTTCTGCTGCACGTCGCCGCTCAGCGTGACTACGAGCTTCACTCTCTTGACTTCAGCACTGCTTTCCTACAGGGCAGCCTGCACGAGGAGATCTGGCTGCGCCGCCCACCTGGCTTCACTAGGTCGTTTCCTGCTGGTACCCAGTGGAGCCTCCGGCGGCCAGTCTACGGTCTCCGCCAGGCGCCCTGTGAGTGGCACGACACACTGAGGACTACTCTTGCTGCTCTTGGGTTTGCTCCTTCTACTGCTGACCCGTCGCTGTTTCTACGCACCGACACCACTCTGCCGCCGTTCTACGTTCTCGTGTACGTAGACGACTTGGTCTTTGCTACTTCTGACACTGAGGGACTCGCCCACGTGAAGTCGGAGCTGCAGAAGGGACACACGTGCACAGACCTGGTTGAGCTGACAAGCTATCTTGGCTTGCGGATCACCCGGGACAGAGCACAGCGCACCATTACCCTGACTCAGTCACACATGGTGCAGCAGGTCCTTCAGCGCTTCTGCTTCACGTACTCCTCGCCACAGTCCACTCCTCTGCCTACCGGTCACTCGCTCTCAGCTCCACCTTCGGACGAGTCCGTAGAGCCGAGTGGCCCGTATCCAGAGCTTGTGGGCTGCCTCATGTACCTGATGACCTGCACTCGACCTGACCTTGCCTACCCTCTTAGCATCCTAGCACGCTATGTCGCTCCTGGCCGACACAGGAAGGAGCACATGGATGCCGCTAAGAGGGTGTTGCGCTACTTGTGCAGTACGTCGGGCATGGGGCTCGTGCTTGGAGGACGGGCTCGAGTTGTCCACACTGGTCACGCAGACGCTTCTTGGGCTGACGACTTGGCTACGCAGCGGTCGTCACAGGGTTACACCTTCAGCCTTGGCTCCGGCTCTGTTTCTTGGCGGTCTACCCGCTCTTCTTCTGTTCTCAGCTCCAGCTGTGAGGCTGAGATCTACGCGGGGGCCATGGCTGCACAGGAGTTACGCTGGCTCACCTACCTGCTGACCGACCTGGGAGAGCTGCCTCGTTCTCCTCCAGTGGTGTACGTCGACAACAAGGCCATGATTGCCTTGTGTCAGGAGCACAAACTGGAGCACAGAACGAAGCACATCGCTCTGCGCTACTTCCTTGCTCGAGAGTTGTAGCAGCGTGGTCAGCTTCGTCTTGCTTACGTGGCCACTCAGGCCAACACTGCTGATGTCTTCACCAAGGTACTCCAGCCTTGTGATCATCAGCGTTTTTGTACTGTTCTAGGCCTTGTGCCTACTGTGCCTCACTTGCTTACTTCTTGACTCTGCTTGTACTGTGATCTCTACACATATACCTGCATGCTTACACTTGCTAGGTTGTGATCACTGTATTGATTGTTCCCATTTCTATAACTCTGCATGTGAACTGGCCTTGTGGCCATTTGCTTGTGCTCGGAATGCGTGGTGACGTCGTGATCCACCCTGAGCTTTCTTTGCCTCTCTTGACCGGTCTTGTGACCTCTTGTTCTCCCCCACTTTGCCTATGGGTAACCAAGTGTAATACGCTTGAAACCGGGTAACCACTCAAGCAGTCGCTCTGGTATAGAAACTTAACGATTGATGGAATCCTCAAGCTCGCCGCCATGGCTGAACCTAGGTTGCCTGGAACTCACATTGCGTGAAGCTCAGTTACCAGTTGGCTTTAATTTCACCGGCTTCAGATCCGCTACACCTTTACGAAGCAGGCTATACTTTTTATGTGTTCATCAGACGAACATTGCATGGTCTTCTCAAAAGTGTCTCCAGCTGGTTCAAGACGAAAAGCCCGATGCGATCGCGTGTTTCCCTAGGCCATGGTCAGTCACCAAGGTGCTACCTAAGCTAACTATCATTGGCTACGCAGATGCTGTGCAACGGGATGATCCCGAAGTGTTATCATCAGTGTCACAACACCAGTGCCAAGAACATTGGTCTACCACAGGAGCTTTTCAAGTACTTAACTATAATGCGCTCAAACATCCGGCTCAAGTGTTTCATCAGAGCTCTCAGCTCTTCTGCTCATTGGATCTGCCGGTCTCTCGTCATCATCGCGCGATGCCCCCGAAAAACTCCCGCGCTAAGGCTGTGGTTGATGCTCCCGCGGTTGACCCTGCAAGCAAGACAACACCAAGCAAGGGGAAGGAAGTAATTGACAATCTCCCGTCAGAAGCGGAAGTGACAGCTGGTAGCTCCGGTCTTACCATTGAGGAGAAGCTGAAGGCGCTGGCGACGATCGCTGCGGATGATTCCTTCATTGAGGATGACTCCGATGAGGAACTCGAGATTGACACGACTAAAAGTGCTTACCCGCATCTGCGCTTCACTGCGATTCTGCTGTTTCCGGTTATCCCTTCTCGCGAAGTTGCTTCGGTTATCGTCACCGTGAGAATGTTGATGAAGCGCGTGCGGTCTAAACTGTTCACTGATGAGGTTCTTGCTTCGGTAAAATTTTAGGAGCTGCTCCCTGCTTATGTTGCGAAGACTCGTTACAGCCGGCTCCAGGTCTCCTTCCTGCACGAATCGGACGCGGTGAATATCAAGCAGACGACGGTGGAACACAAGCGTCAGAACGGCATGACGCTGCACTTCTTCTGGCTGCATCAGGAGGACGCGGCTTTCATTCGCAAAAAAGCTTCGCACCCGCAACTGCTGGAAGTTTAATTCAAGGGCGTACCTGCGGTCATCCCGCCGGAGTTGGTTAAGGAGATCATGGTGGCCCACCCGCTCAAGATCCGGAAGCAGTCTGCCTTCGCCGATGGCCACTACTTCCACCGCGTTCTTCACCCCGTCACTGGTGCTGACACCAGCAAGATCAAGGGACTGGTGGCTCAGCATGCCGGGGACAAGCACCGCTGGCGTCATGAGTTCAGGCACCAGCTGCTGGGAGGAACAACCCTGTTGGCTCACTACCCGTTGTTATCCTGCTCGCTCTGCGGTGGACATCATTATGACAAGTATCATAATGTTTTCGTTGCGGAGCGCCAGAATAACATAGGGAAGTCGAGTTTGACTGTGGGTCGGGTACATAGGATCAACGGTAACTGCTGCATGCATTTTTCGGGTTGTCTTTTTACCTCTTTTACCTTGCCAGTCGCTGACGTGCCGCTTGTCCCTCGCAGCTGCCTCTCTCCGCGCTTCCCCGCTGATTACCCCGCTCTTGCTGGATGCGGCTTTTGTGCTGATCTCCACTGGGAGCAACAGGGAGGAATGGCTGTGCACCCTTGGCAGCTGCGGGAAGGCACACGGCAAGTCCTTCATGGCTGCGGCGGACCATGTCACATCGGCCAGTCATCTGCTGGGTCTGGAGAAGCTGGGTGCGGCCACTCGCAGCTCCCTGGAGAAGCTCGGCCTTCATGTCATACGCAAGGAGTTCGGGATCTGAAGTCTATACTTACCAGCCAGAGGAGATGTTGGGCAGCTGTAACGGTAGTCTGTTCACTGGTAGCAGTATCTTGTATCACCGGCCTGTGGATGCGAAGGGGCCACTCATCAGTGGTTAAATGAATACAAAGAGTTTGCTGACGTTTGCAGGCCTGAATGTCAACGGCCTGGGAGATGGGAACAAGCAACAGCGAACAAAGAACTAGATAAAGCAAGTAGCAGACATCACCATACTATCGGACGCTAGACTCAACGATGATCACTCTTACTGGAACTCTCTTAGACAACCTCATGTACTGGTTGCGTCTCCAACCGCCAAGGCTGGCGGCGTAGCTCTGATCTGTCGGAGGCACGGGCTGTCGCTGCACAACACCCTCATCCATCCATCTGGTCGGCTGATAGCTGCCGAAATCCGTCACGACGCCTTGCACATCACCTTGATCGCAGTCTACTTCCCTGCCGATGTCGCTGATCGGAAGGCGTTCATCTGCAGGGTGCTGGGCCCGGTTGTAGATGCGGTGCTGCCAGGGTCTCACCTGCTCATCATGGGGGATTTCAATATAGTGGAAGATCCATTGTTAGATAGAACATCTAAGAAGGGGACAACGAAGGAGAGTGAGGAGCTGTACCGCCGTTGTGATGCTTTCCGTCTCTCGGATGCTTTCAGAGTGCTCCACCTGTATAAGAGGGAGTTCACTTTCTACTCTTGTGCCAACCAATCCAGTTCGCGCATCGATCGGGCTCTCATCTCACAGTCGCTGCTGTCGCATGTTGAGTTTGCCTCGCATATCATGCCAGCTGACCCCATCTCTGATCACAGTTTTGCAGTGAAGGCGGCTTTCAGGATGAACACACGTGTGCAGCTGGGACCGGGGCTCTGGAGACTCCCTGCATACATGTTGGACAGGCCGGGGGTCAGGAGGGTAATTGAAGCAGTGGAGCGTCAAGCCAACACATGTGGTGACGGCTTTGAGCTCCTCATCTCCCGCCTCAATACCGCTCTCCGGGCTTATGCGAAAGAGGAACGAAAGAGGGTACGAGCTACGATGACTCACCTTCATCAGTCGGTTGCGAAGCTGAAGCAGGCGTGGATGGGAAATCCGGGGTGTGCTCGGCTGAAGAACTTGCTGGACGAGAAAGAGGCGCAGCTGAGAAGTTATCAGCTGGTACGGCAGGAGAGACTGCACGAAATGGCGGGGTTGAAGGAGGAAGTCAAAGGCGAGGTGGCGTCCCCACATCTGTCGGCAAAAATCAAGGCCAGGAAGGGGCGCATATAAATCACAGAGTTAAACGCTGGTGGGGTTTTAGTCACGGACAACAGAGCTATCCTGGGTGCAGTGTCACAGTACTACATGGAGCTGTTTGGAAAAGACAGGCAGCAAGCTGCGTCCACTTGGTCACCTGCTCCGGGGAGATCTCTGTCGCAGAGTTCGGCGGCAGCGGTTTGCACGGCCTGGTCGGAGGAAGAGGTGAAAAACGCCTTCCGCTCGATGGCCAAGGATAAGGCTCAAGGGAAGGACGGACTGCCAAAAGAGCTGTTCGAGCTCCACTGGGACGTCTTGGGCAAGCACTTCATGAAGCTTGCGGAAAATTTCGCGGTCACGGCGTCGTTGCCGGCGAGCACGAAGGAAGCCGTCACCATCCTGCTGCATAAGAGGGGGGGAAGGGACCAGCTTGAAAACTACAGGCCGATTACGCTTCTAAGTTTTACCTACAAGGTGATTGCGCGGGTGGTGGCGGACAGAATGAAAAAAGTATTGCATGAGGTCATCTCCCCGGAGCAATACGGCTTCTTACCGGGCAGAAGGCTGTCAGACGCGGTGGGGTTGGTCGCGGATGTCATCGAGGCTGCAAAAAATAAGGATCGGGACTGGTACCTCCTGTTGGTTGACTTCAGGAAGGCCTTCGACTCGGTCTCGAGGGACTTCCTGTTCACGGTGCTTGAAAGAATGGGCTTCCCGAGCCGTTTCGTGGGCTGGGTTCGGGGCCTGCAGAAAGATACACGGACCAGCCTGTTAATCAACGGCTGGATGGGCGATGCGGTTGACGTGGTGTCCGGGGTGCGTCAGGGCTGCCCCCTCGCGCCATGCCTGTTCTTATGCGCGGTTGAGCCGCTGGCTCAGCAAGCGGCTGCGCGGAACGTGGGCCTCACGGGGGGAAATCAGCGGCTGGCATATCTGGGGTACGCCGACGACACGACCCTAGTCCTGCAAGGGGAGGAGCAGATTGCAGAGGCAGAGCAGCTGTTAGCGGACTTCGAAAAAGAGTCGGGCCTAGCAACGAACAAGGAAAAGTCATCCATCTTACCTCTGGGGCGGAACCTGAACAAGCAGGCCTGCAGGACGGACGACTTCAAGTGGGTCAAGGCGGATGAAGCAGAGCGGCTCCTGGGGGTGTGGGTGACGCCGGCGGGAAGCTGCGGTCCCACCTGGGAGAAGGCTTTTGCACGAATCAAAGAAAAGCCGAGGCAGTGGGAGACGCAACATCTCACAACGGGAGCCAGAGTAGCCGTGATAAACTGTTACATCTCGCCTATAATTTTCTTCCAGGCGCAGGTATACTCGCCGCCGGTGGACGTTTGGGGGAGAATTCTGAAGCTGACGCACAACTTTCTGTCCGGCAACCATGCGGTCACGGACAAAAAAAATATACTATGGAGCCGGAAGCTACTGTACATGGCGAGGAAGGACGGCGGTGTGGGCGTAAGGGATCCGGACATAGAACTTACTTGCCTCGCGGCCAGACGTATCGGGCTGCTGCTTACGGAGACAAACGAGCTGAAGCGGGACATTATGCTTGAAGCGACGGACCTGCCACTGGGGGCTGATTCTTTTATTGCTCATGTGAAGGTTCTGAAGTGTTGGTGCGGGAAAAGCGAGAGGTGGAAGCTGGCCTGCGGGAGCTTTATGCAGTCGCCGCTTGCAGAATCTCTACCAGAACTAACGAGGGAGGAAATTGAAGCGGAACGGTTCGTTTTCAACCGCCATATCCTGGTCAACGGTAAAACGCCGGTAGGAAGTCAGAAAGCGGCGGCGAAGCTGTGGGAGCTCCGGCTGTGCGAAATATTGATACCGGACGGCGCGGGGGGGCGTAAAGTCAAGGACGTGAAAACATTAACTCGGGGGTTAGGAGGCTCTAAGCAAGCAAAGCTGGTGTTGCGGGCTTGGGAGGCAGTGCCGCAGAGCTGGAAGGAGTTGCTACTGTCTGCCGAGCTTCCGCAGCTGCCTTCTTTGCCCGCATGTTCTCGCCTCCAGAGGTCTGCACTGTTCAAGGATGGGCAGGTGGTGTCGCTGAAAGAGCTGAAGGGGTGTTGGGAGAGGAAGAAGCATCAGTCCGCCAAGAGGGAGCTCTGGGCGGGCAGGTGGGCAGGAGAAATTGACTGGCAGAAGGTCATCAAGGTTCGGGACTCGTTGTTCACGCCGAACAGGCCGCGTGATGTGTTGCTCAGAATTCAGAGCCTCAATCTGCAGGTGGGGGAAAGGCTTTCGTTCCTAAGTGGCAAACCGGTTTGTCCACACTGTGGAGACTTCGAAACTTTAGAGCATTGCCTCTTCAGCTGCCCGCGCATCCAACAAGTGGTGGTGGCAGTCAGGCGGGCCATGCGCATGTTGAATCCAGCGAGGCAAATTTCGGAGTTGGGGGATCTGCTGTTCGGGAAAGCAGTTCCCTGAAGCATCTCTCTCCGCGATTGCAGTTCATCAGATTTGGGCGGAAAGGTGCGAATGTGTGTTCCGGGGGAAACGGTTCCGGGCTCGGCGCGTTCTCAGACGCATCGAGGCGGCTTTCCGGCTGCATGTGAAGGTGTACACGCGAGCAATGGGGAAAAAGTTGGGCAGCAAAGGTGGTTTGAAGGGACACGGAAGGACTCATGCGCTGGCAGAGCAAGAGTAACTTGCTTGGACGTATTCGGTGCTCGGCGGTGAAGGGCTGGAAATGGACACATGGTTTTGGCGCGCTCTGGTGCCTCGCAAGGGGGGCCCTGCATCCGCCTTAGAAGCTTCCCATCGGGGCCACCGCTGCGGTCTGGCCTCTCACGCTCAGTTACGACTGATATGTATCTTTTATACACTTGTTTCTTCAGTGTATGTAGATATATTCATAATGAGAAAAAAAAATAAACTTTGCCTATGGGGGTGTGTCAAACTTATATGCTATAGTATGTGTAGGGTGTAGTGGGGTAGTTCATATAGGGTACAACACTTCTAGGTTTCCTACTTGTACCCAACTGCTTGCTAGTTCAATCATTCCGTCGTTCTCATTCTGACATCTGGCGCACCGACGACGACGTAACGGCACCTTGGAGCTCTTGATTCGTTGGAAAGGCTATGATCCTTCCGAGGATAGCTGGGTACCTGAACACGACATGGATAACTCCCGTCATCCTTTCCAGGACTACCTTGTCAAGCAGGGTGTTACTTCTACCACCCAGCTTTGAGGGGGGGAAGTGTGAGAGGACGTCCCCGTTATAATATTTCTCATTATTATATTTTCCTTTATCTTATTCTCCTTTATCTCGTTTATCCTTGTATTTTCCGAGTATAAAAACGCCTTGTATTCAGTTTTAGTGACAAGTTTCGACTGCGAATTCGATCCTGTAACACTTGGGTTGCAGCTATCAGAGAGAGGAGAACTTTACAATATCGTTTTATGCTACCCAAATCCCAAACCCCACCCGCGAAGTATCATTTAGTCATTGCAGCCGTTGCGTTAGAGGAACGCTGGAAACGTCGAAAAACAAGTAGTGGCGTGGCGAAATGTAATGATTTTGAAACACAACAACGAAAGAAAGCGGTGAAACCAAAATGGAGGGAGGGAAGGGAAAGGCATTTTTTTTATAAGTCGGAGTTGGGGTACAACGCTCGATTGAAAGGCCGCAAGTGCAACCCATGATTCCTAAAAAACATAAGAAGCAAACACGTTAAAGAGAAAAAAAATAGTGAAGAGAAAACGTAAGGTGGAATTCAAGACGAAACAAAGACAGAACGGAATGCAAAATCTAGA